TCGGCCGAGGGTACGAGATGAAACGGATGGGGCAGAGGTCGCGACGGAAACGACGGAAAGAACGCATCGCCCCGGGAACGGATACCGCGGCTGCCTTTTACTGCTTCCCCCTTTAACTTTCTTTTTTATTTTATTTTATCAGTATGTGTGTGCTCCTAGGGAACCGTAACGTACCCTGAAGCCAGGTTCTAAGCTCTCGCGGAATCACACTGCTCCACACGAGGTAGAAGACGGCAGGAAAAGGTTCTGTCGTGCTCGGGATTCGTACTCTGCAGGTACATTCAGAAAGCGACACCTATAGAATAAACGAAGCGTGTGCATTAGAGTTTTGACGTCATAAAAGTGAGATCGAGCGAAGAAGCGGATTACACGCGAGTGCCGCGTCGGCGTCCGGTTCGCTCACGCGTCCAATTAGCGCGTCGACGGACGCACGTCATCGGTGTTCGGTCCCAATTGCTGGCTGGGCGCAATCCGATCGTGATGAGGTTTCGTGGATGAAGAGCATATGATGTTCGCGGGCCTCGGTTATTCTAGGCGGTGATGGCTGGGGCGGGGATAAAGCGGCTTCTAATCTACCCAACTGAAGACCGGAGAAATATTAGTTGTTGTTTTTTTTTTTTACGTAAGCCACTCCCGAGTGGACCGAGTGAAATATCGTCATTAATCGACAGAACACGACGCGCGTTTACGAAATGGAAATCGAAGACGACCTCGAAGTGTACGATTCGACAGGATTGGTGTTGTTCTAACAACACAGAAACTATAGCCACTGACAGTTTATTAAGCGCAGGGCGCGCATAGTTCCGAACATCTTATAATCGCATAGCAGCCAATAGGAACGTGGCATTAGCCGGTCGGAATGTCGAACAGCCAATCACGAAGCAAGCAGCGTGATTATTATAAGCCCTGGGTTTCTTAAACTTTCAGTGAATGAGTATCTTACCAGGCCAGAAGGACATTTCACTATTGCACACATCTTGCACTGCCCCTCTCTTTTTCAGATATTTGGTACAACAAAGCCGTTCTTACAACGAGTAAAACAACCACGTTTCGCTACAAATTAAAAAAAAAAAAAAAAAAAATCGGCGGAATGTCCTATAGGGAATTCCGCGTGTCACGTGACGCATATTGTCCCGCTAAATTTAGCGGGTAAAAATGAATGGTTGCATAAGTCACGTGACGTAGATTTCCCCCGCTAAATTTACCGGAGAAACTAGATTGGCATCTAGATCACAAGACGTGAATTTTTCCGTTAAATTTAACGGGTAACTGAATCGGTGTATACGTCACGGGACGTCAATTTCCCGCTAAATTTAGCGGCGAAACTGAACTGATATTAGGGAGTTTTTCGCAGACCATATTTCCCACCTCCGCTACGCTCTCTGGAACGCGGACGCCACTACTGAGCATGCAGAGTCCCGGATCACAAGCGGGGACAGCGGAAACGATCTACGAGAACTCCCTATTTTGGTCACAAGACGTCAATTTCCCCGCTAAATATAGCGGAAAATGCGGGGACCGATGGACGGACGAACCAAATTTTGGGATTGAGGGGTAACGTTTTTTTAAAAGCATTTCAGGCTTAAAAAAAAAAAAAATGTATCAATAAAGAAATGTTGCGAACCGTAGATACGCCTGCGCTCTTTTTAAAAATTATCTTTGATATTTTTTTTTTAATACGCTGAACTATAGTTTTATGACGTCATTCCGGTAAAAAGTAGTGACGCACGTGCCACCAGCAAAATCTTGCTTTCCGCTTCTTTTTTGTCTGTATTTTGTTTTGTATAAGACAAATAGACGGAGGCTTACTAACAGAACCACACACATAGGTATATAGAGGTAAAAAAAAATAAAAATGAAAGCGGCGGTAGGTATAGCGATCGCCCTGCTACGCGGGGAAGCAACTGACAGTACGGCTTCCTGTCCTAAAGTTCTGCCACTGTGAGTAAGACAGATGTTGTAGCGGAAGCGCTCTGTGTAAAACTGAAATGATAAACTAAGAAAATGAGACACAAAAAAGATGTTCTACTGTTTTCACTTGTATCCACAGCCGGGAGACATGATACGAAAAAAATACGTATTTTTGTGTTCTTTTGTAGCCACGATGATGGAGTTTTGAAATCCTATCGTGTTTCCTACCCGCTGACGGCGACCTTCCGACTTTTTTTGTTATCGTTTTATTCCGCGAATATTTTTTTCTTTCGTTAACTGTGCTTTGTTTTTGTCACAGCTGTGAAACGCTTGCGTTCTATATTGATATGCAGCAGGGAACAAAAGAACGTCGCAAAACATAAGCATACATCTGCGATTTGTGTACCTTGGCGAATTGTTATTTTTTTTTTTGCTTTTTTTTGTGCAATGACAAAATATATTGACTTTGGAGACGTTCACCAGAACATATAGAATATGTTATCGCTTACACTGCAGGGGGATAAGTAGTCGCTCTTGAGCCTTGATTATACTCCGTGACAACTTTTCTTGGCAATGCAGTGAGTTCTGGAAGGTACAAGCACGCGTTCCCTTTCCCATTTTGAGCGTTGAATAAAGTTCTGCGCGGGATCTCCTCCTCTCCCCGGAAATGCCAAGAAAAGTTGTCGCGATGAACGTTCGCGATCAATAGCTTTTAATGTGTTTTCTTAAATCTAGCATTAACATTAACACAGGCGAGAACTCGAAGTCGCTAACGCTATATCGTAAAAGTATCCTTTTATCGAAAAACATCTTAGGAATATGCGCAAAACCTAACTTATCTACGACGTACTACAGCTTGCATCAGCAGACTGTTTTTTGCACGCTTCACTCGGTGATGGAAGTTTTCAAGGACCCCTGTCGCCCAGGATAACGTTGAAAGTAACTTGATGACAACCGAGACTATGTTCGACTAATTGTATTCCAACACACACAAAAAAAAAAGAAGGGTTCTATAAAATGGCTTATGTTAAAAACAACTTTCGATGAAATGATGCGCAGTATCAGGAGTAACCACCTGTTTGCGAGGGACTAACGTCAGACACAGACAGTCTAGGCATATTGGCGATGACCTCCCACGCACATGCCACGGAATGCACAAATGATTTGCTCGAGCGAGAGAACGTCCTCTTCCGCTATCACAGCGGGCCGAACGAAAGGGCTATGACGACAAGCATCATCCTTTTTGTGGCCCTTACATCTACCTCGCTCCTCTCAAAATTTGTGTTATATGTTTGTTCAGACGGTAAGAGGTGAGTCAGCCCCCCAAATAAACTCCGCAGCAAATAAATAAAAAAATTAGTTGGCGCGGTTTTATGGTTAGCCTGGCGTCTTGAACGTGCATGACGCAGTAGTGATACACGGCCGCACGCAACGGTACAATGTCCATCCGGATCGAAACGAACTGGGTGGGGACCGAACCCAGAATCCATGGGTTCCGCGGCGCAAGCTTCCGCTCCACGTGCTCCGTACTGTTTCCATGCTCTTTCCAATTCAGCAGAGCGAACGGTGCTTTCGCTCTACTAAAGGGGACCCACCACTTCCCCCAGTACAGTGCTGGCGAAACTGGTGACCGTTCTGACTCGGAAATGCTACTTGCTGATATTTAGATACAGTGACAGGAAGGTCAACCGATATGGATTTTTGGCTGTCGCGGTCTGCTTCAACAATACCGGAGGGGCGGAAACGCGTTCCCTGCGATTTCAGATAAAACTTTAGATGACTGGCAACACTGATTTGAAGGCCGTAGTTACGTATGACTGGAGCAGAGCATAGACTCCGTTCACCGGGTACGAGGAGAATAGCCAACAAGATCGAATCCAATGGCTAAAACTAAAGTGTCGTTACTTCGAAGCGTAGCTTATTTCCTGGCCAAAGGCTGAACGAAAGGGATATGACGACTGGCGTCTTCCTTTCAGTGGTCGTTTCGTCTGCTACGCTCTTGTCTAAACCGCTCGAGCAATTGCGCCCGGCGAGAGAGAGACAGAGAAACGTGACGCCGCGCAACACCCAGCGTGACCGTCCAAGTGGATGGAGGATCAATTGGTGGTGACCTCCGTCGGGAACGGTCTCTCCGGATGAGGTTCCCTCGGGGTCAGAGGAGCTAAGCTCCTTGACCCCCATGGCCATTATACCATAGGAGTCACCCCCTACGCACCTGCCAGCGTTGCGTAGGGTCGCTTTGTGCTTAGGTGCTCGTTACCGCATCGAAGTTGTGTTGTCGGAGAAAAAAGCGCCCGTAATACTCGAAGGGCCGTTGATTGGCGTTCGACGGAATCGCAGACCAAGATCGTTAGCGTTCCGTGCTGCTTCGCGAGGTTCTGCACGCGCACTCCTCTCGTCGGAAACGTCACAGAAAGTTGTCCACGAGTAAACGGTCAACGTTACTAGTTCAAAGTTGCATATAACCTCTGACGGCATTAAAACGGCAGGAAGGTCTTTCAGTTGTCACGCCTCCAGCGCGAGCTTCGTAGTCGTACCTCTCAGAAACGTGCTAACAAATGCTCCGTTCTGTGTTCCACTCGGCGCCACGAGCCTCAAGCACACCCGATTTTGGATTCATTCCGTTCCAGTGTATTCGTAGGAGAGCTGGAAAACGGTGATAGAAGAATGCCCATATGACGAGGTGGGGTAGTAGTTTAGACGATGAGAACAGCAGGGAGGTCCTTCAGCGCGAGCTTTCTACCATCGATGGAACTTCGGCGTTTCGCGAGCTTCCCGCGTGTAAGCGGAGCCAAAGCACCACGGAAAACAACCGGCACGTGCAGGTGGCCGGACGTCAAAAAGAGGCGCCCTGCTGTTCTCATCCTGCCAGTGACTTGGTGGGTTAACATACCTTACCGGTAATAAGGAGACTCGGCGAGCGAATCCCGGCCTCGTCAAACCTTTTGTCTTTCGGTGGCTTTGTGACGCATTGATCCCAGTCGACCAGCACGGTTCATTCACTGTTATCTACATTTTCTTTTTCGAGACCACGACTAGACGACGCAAATGTAGAAACCTTAATAGAGTGTTGATCAATCAGGACTTACAATGATATCCAAGCGCACGGTCGTGGCGGTTCCGGTGCGACCCATGAACCTAGGGTCGGTGACGTACATCCAATCGCACATTTTGGCCATCGTCCTTGTCGGAGTGCCCTACTGTCACCCACAACGTGCGAATCCACTTTTGACGAACACGATTACTCACACGGGAAGTGTCACCGATATTTCGGGCACTGTGCACTTTGGTGGTGATGACTCGACATCGAAACGCTCGGACGACTCTCTCGAACGATCCCGGATGAATGATACGGTTACGTTCGATGGGTCCGGTCAGTCTTCATGCTGCATGCAACATGTTGTCAGAAAACAAGTTTCCTGTTTTTGAGGCGTAGGAGACGAATGGGTAATTAGCTTGACAAGTCGCTCGCGTCGCTGACAACGGATGACGCATCTCCCGTCGGCGGCGGCGACAACCACGACACCGACGACTTCTCCATTGGTCGGGGGAGGACGACGAGCCGCGACACACAACCCCAAGCACGGTCGAACTCAAACTGTTGTGTTCCGTCCGGCCGGCTCGAAAAACTCTCGGACGGGACAAGAGAGGAGGAGAGGGGGAGGACGGCGCGAAGGGGGAGACGGAAAGAGCAGAGAGCACGCGGCGCACGCGGAATGGAAAGAGAGGGAAGGAGGGGGTACGTGCCTCTCTCCCACCATTCCGCTTCTGTGGGATCAAACGCAGGAAAGGCTGCTCGCCGCCGTCGCTGCAGCAGGCAGGCAACAACACACACCCTCTCTTCAGGAATGTATTTTTCCCCGCCACCTGCCTGGACGGGAAAAAGCGAAGAGATGGCAAAAGAAAGAAGTGTCGGAGTAACGAAAGACGAGCCGTTCTATCTTTTTCTTGCTTTCTTTTGTAACGTTTCTTTTTCCTTTATTCTTCCTCCGGGTCTGTCTGTCTCTCTATCTCCTCCCGGGGAGTGGGGGGCGTGTGGGGTCTTGTTGGGAGGGGCAAGTTTTTTTTTTCGGGGGTCCACTTCATATCGCTCCTTGTTCTTTTTGTTTGGAGCTGTTTGTTTTCTTTTTTTCTTCTTTCTATATATCTTCTTCTTTCCACCTTCCGTTCTGGACTTGGAAGAAAAAAGTTTCGTTCGTTCGCTCGTTTCGGGCTGGTTCGAGTTCGGACGATTCCTTTAGCCGAGCAAAACTGAACGTACACGGCATCTCCCAGCGCCTTCCGAAAGATCACGTGACTTCGTTTCGTGTTATTTTTTTTTTTCGTTCGTTCATGTTTCTTTTCTTGAGCGCACTAATCGGTCGTTCTATCCCATCCCCTCTTTCTTCTCTTGCCTTACCCTCCCCCTTGCTTCTCTTATTCCCAGGTGTCTGAATCCATCTTCCGAAACCGACTGATCTTGTTCATTATGCTAAAATTTTTCAATATTGTATTGTTGCGAAAGATTTTCTTTTATTTTCTTTCGTCGGTTTTTGTTCGAGGTGGGTTCGCTTTGCACACTGAGGGGTTGAAGAAACGGGGGAGGGGGTCAGCGAAAAAAAAAAAAAAGAGTCAAAAAAGGAGGGAAGGGGGGGGGGGGCGGCTGAGTTTTGAGTTTCTAATTTTCAATGCCGTCGTGTATCTTTGTGTGTGTTTGTATCGGGCGTGTGCGCTAGCCTCCCCACTACAGCCCGTGCTTTCTCGTTGTGTTCTCTTTTTTCATGTTTCACTGGTTTCTTTTCAAAGGTGCCCCCACCACCCGGCCATCTCCTATTTTTGCCCGAGTCGGCGTGAAAAGCCAAGGCACCGAAGCCTTCCTTCTTTCTTCTTCCGACGGAAGCCGGTGTGTTTCCTTCCTCCTTTCGCTTCGGGGTTTCCACCGCCTTTCCTGCGCGTACGCCATTTTTCCCCTTGTGTGTGTTTTGCCGCCACTCTATTCCGTTTCATCACCTTACGACGAAGCGCGGCGGCCGCTACACTAGTCATCCCAGCCAATCCAACGCTACGAATTCGTATCACGTGACCACGCGCATCGCGACGCGTCGCTGCGTCTCTTCCAGAAGTAACGTGACCCTCGCGCGGCATTGGCTTCGATGTCTCGTAGCGTCCTCCGCGATCCACCGTAAGGTGTAAACGGAGTTTAGGGGGACCGGGCCACAGCCGACGTGGTCGGAGGTGAGGAGGACGGTCCGCGGGAAGCGTGTCCAATCCCCAATTTTTAGGGAAAGACCGTCCACTATTTGGGAGGGAGTGAGGTGTCGGGACCATTTCATCCTGAATCCACAGAAAACCGAACTCGTACAATATAAAATAACTTATACGCAAGACATAAAACATATTAAAAATAATAAACAAAGCTCGAACGAGACACTAAAAATATATATATATATAAAGTGGGATGCGGAGTTTGCGAAAGTTACGGTTCATGAAGGAGGGTGTTGGAAGGAACGAGCTCTGCTTGCTTCTTCTTTGCCTGTAAAAAAAGAATAGCCCTTTTTTAGATTTTATTTTTAGGATCAACTTTGTGTTTATCTACTTTCCGCGTAAAAACGGAGAAGTAGGGGACATGTTCAGGGGAGTGCCGCTGGGGTCGGCGTCGTCGTCGTCGTCTCACCCCCCCTTAGTTAGCTGGTCTCCAGTCTCGTAAACTCACGTGGCCTCCATTGTTACCTTTTTATTTATTTATTATTCTCCCCGAGGAAAAGAAATAGAAAGCACGTTAGTTGAGCGACTGGGTGCTGAATGCCACAGGCCGTCGCGACACGGGACAGCAGCAGAGTTGTTGTCTGTCTTCCGATCTTCAGCTGCCCTTCAAAGAGCAATGATTCGGGAGTGAACGTCTCGGCGTTGTTTTTTTTTTTTTTTAGCTACTTTATTAGTATTTTTTTCTTGTTTTCCTTCCGCGCCCCTCAACACGGAGGCGAGATCTAGAAGAAGAAAACAGTGTTTTTCGGGGGAAAAAAGGAGGAAAGATGGGAGAAGATAATAGATAACATTTCAATAGTCCATCTCTCCTTCGAGTCTGCTGTTCAACTTTTGTGCTCCAGGCTTTTTTCTTTTTTTAAAGCAACTTCCTTGCGCGTGTTGCAGGGAGGTGCCTGGGCGGGCCCCTGAAGTCTATTAGACTGCTTACAGGGCTTCCTTTCTTCTTTTTTTCACCTAATATTCGTTGCAGTTACTCGGAAGTCTTCCGATCTACAGGAGCATCTGCTTCTGCGCCCCTAGCTCACTCTGAAGAAGGTTGCTTTCTTGTGTTTTACGTGTGTTTGACAAAGTTGGGTGGGCCGATGGGAGAGGGGGAGTCAAGTTTTGACTTTTTCCGGCTGCCGCTGTAATAAAACTGCCTCTTCTTTCGTTGTTGCCGTTGTTGTGATGGATGTACCGCGAGCAATATCGCGTGATCTTTCTTCCGTGACTAAGTAAGTAGACACGGAACGTTCTTCTTCTTTTTTTTTTTTTCCCCCTCTGCGAACAAGGCTGCGTAACTCCCCTGTGTAACTCGTAGAAAACTTGCGGAGCGTTTTGTTCTCCCGTGTCGGGTCCTCGGTTTCTCGATCACAATAGACCGGTGATGCACAACTCAAACATGATGCAGGAGTATGTTTCTAGAAAACTGGGTGGGCCACACCTACACTCAAGAAAGAAAGGGTGCAGTTTTACACCCTTCTGTCCCATATAATACACCCCAAAACTTCAGTTCGACGTACAACGCACTGACGTTGAAGAGACGGCCCCAACTTTTATGAGGGGCTTGATAACGGTGCGATATACTTATTAGACAACTAAAGTACGTGTCAAAAACTACAGAAAAAAAAAATATAACTGAGGTTTTGCAGTAAGGCCAAGAAAACCCCGATATTTTTTTTTCTTGATGTAGCACGTACATTAATTATCTTAATAAGTTGTACCACTCGGCTATCAAGCCGCTCGTGAAAGTTGGTACAGTCGGTTCAACGTCACTGAGAGCCTGTACGTCGAACTGAAGTTTTGGGGTGTCTTATATCATATGATACAAGCGGTGTAAGAATATATCCTTTTTTTTTTTTTTTTCTGAGAGTGTAGTGAGAGATGGTGCTGCGCACTTTGGTTGCAGTCAGGCTTCCAATATCGGGCGCACTCGTTGCCGTCTTTAGCACATCTCGCAGTGTCATGTCCGTCATGGTAGATCAAAGACGTTTCTCGTTGAGAGTCGTGAGTGATCTGCTCACAAGCATACGTGCTCCCAAAATGCGACGCTTCAGGGCGTGGTTCACCAGTTTTCCGTATCTTGTTCTTTTTTTTTTTTTTTTTTGTGGAACTCAAGCAGCTGGGATTCTTCGTTCGATGGTCACTGGTCGATGAGGCCGCGGAAAAAAGTTCGCGGAACAGGTTGTCTTTCTCGACTTCGACCGCCTTGAATCGTTGCTGGAACTCCGAGAGAAGTTTCTCAGCGTGTAGTTTTGCGGCGACCGGGGTCGCGGACTGCGAGAAAAGCACACGCGGGTCGCTCGTGGCCCGCGCGCCGTCTGTTGTGCACCCCTGCAAATAGACCCCTTTCGAAATTGCATGCCCTCCAGTAGATGCTGCGCGAATTCTCCGCGTCCGCCATTCTCTGGACACGTGCGCAACGCATGTATTGTACACGAGAGTTGCGTCAGTGTTCGGCGTGAACTCGGATCTGCTCGTGTCGAAAACGAGGGTTGCCTGACCGGTCGACGAGAACTCGGATCCATAGTCTCACACTTCGTGCCAACGAAATGGCGACCGGCCTATTCCGCTTCATGGACTTTTGAAAAGAGGTCTATTAGTACTATTAATACTAAGAAAAAAAATAACTCCTTATTTTTTTTTTGGTTATAATAAACTTTTTAGTTAATGGACAAACCCACTTTCTAGCGATTTTAACACTAAAAGTGTGTAAAAACTACAGCAGTTTTTTTTTTGTTTTTTTTTTTAGTGAAAGTTATTTTTGAGGCCGCACATCTAACAAAGTTTGTTTTAGGCTCTCAGCTCTCTTCCTGGTTTCCTGGTCATGTTACTCGTCCTCATAATATTCCAGTAATATTATGCGTGTCCGTCCGACACCACTCAATCTCGATGCCTAAATGTTTGCAGAAAAACCTCAATTATACACCAATTATAGCACTAGCACTTTAGCCTATTTCGTGTGCTGGAGCTTCGCTCGTTGCGGCTGGAGCCATTCCTGTACATGTTATGTCGCGACGGACTCCAGCATGAACGTATATTCTGCTGTCACCGAGATGGCGCAGGTAACGGAATGGATGTCTGGGGCGTGTGTGATGAGCGTGGAAGATACGACCTTATTTCCTCAGTGTCTCATTATGACGTTTCCTAAGCAGCTCGCCTGCACACTTTCGCTTCTCACGTACTCCTCGTCTCGCGCGTTATCATTGACGGGAAATTTATTTCGGGGACGCTGTTCCGAACCAGCTCCTCTAAACTTAGTGCGTACGTCCACCGCTAAGTGCAATCTTCACGCAAAAAAAAAAAAAAAAAAGAAAAGATCCGTGAGGTAAAATTTTTTTTTTATCTGTTTCTTCGAGAAATTTGAAGACCGAGTCCT